GAACTAGGGAACGGAAACCGGGTGAACTTGGCTTGAATGCACGTCGGGCAGCCAAGCACCTCATTGGGCTCCCCCTTCACACGTATGCCAGCAACCATCTCATTCTTCACTAGCTGCTGCAAGATGGGCAGGGCCACATGCCCCATTCGCCGATGCAAGGTGAGCCAATCACACTCCCCCGTAGCCGAAGTCGGATTGGAGAATGCCGCACTCGCAATAGTGCCCCACATGTTCTCTCCGTACTCCTCCTCCGCTGCTGCCTTGGGGTTCTCCTCACCCTTGTGCTGCTTCTGAGCTGCTGCACCACTCTCCTCATGTTCACCGAGCTTGCTGGTCCCTCCAAGATTGCACTTCTTGGACTTTATCTCCTTAGCGCGACCGTTCGCGCCATCGCCGCTACCAACCGCTTCACCCTTGGTGCTGATGCTTGCTGCCACTTGCCTCTCCTTAAGCATGGGGACCACAGGGATTTGCCACATCTCGTTGTAGACATCCCTATCCTCGTGAAGGTCCCAAAGAATCCGCTCGCCAAGCCTCGCGGTGTAGGTCTTAGCTCCCTTCGAGCTCGTGTCCATGCCGGCCTTTTGCAACCGCCGCACGGAAATCAGGTTGGCAGCAAGGTTGGGCACCCAAAGCACGTTCTTGAGGCCCACCATCTTCCCATCAGCACCCTTGAACATGGCCTTGCCCATGCCTTTCACCTCTGCTCGCTGCCCCAAAGCCGATGTGACATGCTTCACCGGTGACGGCTCGAGTTCGGTGAGCAAGTCCGGGCGAGGTGTCATGCTATAGGTAGCGCCACTATCAATCACCCAATAGTCCAGGGGGTGTAGGGTCACCTTCCCCACAGCTGCTGGCTCCTCAAAGCCTTCATCCTTCTCTGGACCAGCCGGTACTTGCGTCAACACGAAGTAGAATAGACCCGGGTATCGATCGTCGCTCGGGTCCTTGTCGTTGTCTCCGCTCTTCATGTTTGCAGCTCCGCCACCGCGACCGCCACGGCCTCCACGGCCTCGTCCTCTCCCTCCTCCTGCTCCTCTACCCTCTTGGCCTTGAGCAGGGGTCCAACCATCAGGGAGTTTGTAGCAGTCGCGCCACATGTGTCCGCTCTTGTGGCAATAGTGACACTCGCCGTCGAATCGGCCGCGACCGCGTCCGTAGCTCTTGTCGTCGCGCCGTAACCGCCACTCCTGCGGCCTCCGCCGAAGTTGCTGCCACCAAACCTTCCTCCCCCTCGTCCTCTGCCTCTTCCTCGACCATATCCACGGCCGATGCTCGCTGCCCCAGCGCCATCCGCACTCGCCAACTCACGGCGGCCGAAATCCTCTTGAAGGATAGCTCGCTTCACGTCTTCAAGCGAGAGGCGGGGCAAGTCGCGATTAAGGTTGATGATGAGCGAGGACCATGACTCTGGGAGTAAGGCCAGCAACTTGGTCTTCTTTTGGAGCTCACTGTAGTTCAAATCAGCTCCCTCAAGCCGCGTCAACAAGTCGAAGAATTTCTGCACCCCTTCTTCAACCGCTTCGTCTTCTTCAATTCGTAGTGCCGCCATTTGCCGTTCCAACACCACCGCTACCGCCGCTGTTGCAGGAGCATGTACACCCTTGAGAGCAGCCCATGCCTTTGGTCCTTTCTCTGGTTCACGCTGGAATGGCTTGATGTGACGGATCTGACTGCTCCCCAACGCTTGCCCAAGTAAGAGATAGCCTTGTGCGCTCTTCCGCACCCACGGGCTCTTCTCCGGGTCGTTCTCGGGGCGCTTCTCCGTTCCTTCCATCACCTCCAGCAGGTCATAGTGGTCAAAGATGTTCTCCATCTTGAAGGACCATTCAGCAAAGTTGTCACCGTTGAACTTGTCAAGCCCAAACACCCTAGGCTCATCCCTAGGTGGGCCAAGACTTGGTTGCATGGGCGCCATGGCTGAATCACGGGGTTGGCCTTGAGCTTGAGCTTCTCCACTGCCACCAGCACCTCTGCCACCCCTTTCCTCAGGTCCAGACATTGTCGAAACTGCTCCAAGGGGCTCTGATACCACTTGTTATAGTCACAATAGCCTTGAATGTGCCTAAAACGAAAGATAGAGTGCACAGACGGATTTCTGCACAGCGGATTAAAACGTTGATAGCGTTCTGCTCACAGCTGCAAATGACTTGATTCAAATTGGATCTGGAGCGTCTTGACGTCGCCTACAATAAGCAATTTAGATTGCACGATTTCATAAAGAATTGACGACACAGCGTCGGTTTGAACGAACGGTACTATGGCAGCCACTATAGTCTTAGAACACAAGATAGGAAGAGTTACGAGTTGGGAATGACTCCCAGCTCCTACAAACCCCAAGAGCCGAGGTACAGTGATGTGGAACAGTGCCACACTGTCCCCAACCAGGAAGGGTCTCGAAACTACCCTTCACTAGGGCCTACACCAAGTGAAATGTTACACTACACAAAGTAATGTAACTATCTTCAATATCTTGAGGTGTACCCTTTTGGCGAGCTTCGAAATCACTTGAGGCTTGACACCAAGGCTCGGGCTCTTCATCACAAACTCATCCTTGAGTTCTTGATGGGTCTGCTGCACACACCTGCGACACGCCGAACGTTCGACACAGGACAAAATAGAAACCGCGCACGACAAAATAGAAACCGCGCGCGAGACACAAACGACCGCGTAACACGCGTCTAGCGATAACTCGCTATTGACTCGACACACACACTCGACATCATGACTCAACATTCACACACAATTATAAGCATGAAATATATATTATCCCATGCCCTCATACCATTCCATACACACACACATTCACGCACACGGACAACAAGCCGAGTGCAAACCGTAGGGTTGCACCAACAGCCTCTAGGTCCTGCACTGCGTGGGCGTGCTCGTGGGCGATGATGGGGCGCTGCCACTGCTCTGCGCGCTTGAGCACGGAAAGCATGCCGCCTCTGCCATTGCTGCCCATTAAGGGCGTTGATGGCGCAGCGGATGAGCAGCGCGCCCCAGGGCAGGGAGATGTGCTCCGAGGGGCACAGCTGGAGGTGATGGGGGAGAGAAGGGCACAGGGGGGTGGAGAGGGGAGGAGGTGAGGGGGAGGGGGGGCTTAGGACAATAAAACGAGGGAGAGGATCGAGGTGGCGTGTGTGAGATGAGCAAAGCGCCTTCATTATTTCAAAGCAGCATGCCTCAAATCCTCAAAAAGCTTCACAGGACCTTCGTTTCTTCCCCCCCAAGTCCGCCCCTTTATCCCCCCCTGGTCTCTCGTTTTCACCCTTCGAGATTCTTGTTCTGCTCAGTTTTGAGCGGTTCTGGGTGGGTAAACAAAATTTCAGTTTCACATGTGTGAAAAACAAAACTTCATTATCAAGACCAGTGCGAAAAACAGGAAATCAGAGGTTCAGAAACAAAATCTCAATTCCAGGGGGGTGGGAAGTAGGATATCAGAAATTGAGGGTTTGAGAGGAAAGAGGGGGGAGAGGGCAGGACTCATGGGTTCAGGGGAGGGGACGGGGAGACTAGTTCCCATTGCTTTTATTCCTTGCTTTTCATCCTTTACTGATAATTGGTAACTTTCCAGCTTGTCTCCATTACTCTCGTCGCTCCTTTCTTACCGTGGGACGGTAGGTGCACTGAAGCAGCACCTCTTCATGGGCTCTCCCCATTGCTTCGCCGCCACCAGCAGAGCTGCCACCGCTTAGTTGCTGCCTTGACTCTGAGAGAGGAACGGGCGAGCGTTAAGGGGAGGGTGAAGAGGGGGGTTGTACGCAGCAGCAACACTTCCACCTCCCCGAATTTAAACTGCCAGCAGCACAGAGTTGCTGCTGCCTAAACTAAGCCCATCATTCCAACCCACCAGCACCCATCATTCCAACTCACCAGCACCCATCATTCCAACCCACCAGCACCCATCATTCCAACCCACCAGCACCCATCATTCCAACCCACCAGCACCCATCATTCCAACCCACCAGCACCCATCATTCCAACCCACCAGCACCCATCATTCCATCCAACCCACCAGCACCCATCATTCCAACCCACCAGCACCCATCATTCCAACCCACCGGCACCCATCATTCCAACTCACCAGCACCCATCATTTCAACTCACCAGCACCCATCATTCCAACCCACCAGCACCCATCATTCCAACCCACCAGCACCCACCATTCCAACCCACCAGCACCCATCATTCCAACCCACCAGCACCCATCATTCCAACCCACCGGCACCCATCATTCCAACCCACCGGCACCCATCATTCCAACTCACCAGCACCCATCATTCCAACCCACCAGCACCCATCATTCCAACCCACCAGCACCCATCATTCCAACCCACCAGCACCCATCATTCCAACTCACCAGCACCCATCATTCCAACCCACCAGCACCCATCATTCCAACCCACCAGCACCCATCATTCCAACTCAACAGCACCCATCATTCCAACCCACCAGCACCCATCATTCCAACCCACCAGCACCCATCATTCCAACTCACCAGCACCCATCATTCCAACCCACCAGCACCCATCATTTCAACCCACAAGCACCCATCATTCCAACCCACCAGCACTCACTATCCCAACCCACCAGCACCCATCATGCCAACTCACCAGGGATTTCAGCGCGGTGGGGCGGACGAGGGGGAAGAAGCGGAATCTCAGGGAGGCGACAGCATGCTTTCGGGACCGCTCATCCCTGCCCTGCCCTCACCAGCCAAGCATGGTTCAATTATAATATTTACGTGGTTCTTTTTATGATTTTTTTCCCGCACTTCACACATTCACCCTTGCTCCCCTCTTACCGCGTGGGGGGCGATGCGCCTATGAGCCGCCATTGGGCGAGAGGCGGGCGGCGGCGGCGCAGAGTGCGTGCGTTGCTCCGTGCGTCCGTCCAGCCGGCCGGCTCCTCGGGCTCACTCGCCCCCGCTCCCATGCTGCCTCCGCCCAGCCCCTGCTGCCGCACACATGAGGGGGGAAGGGGGAAATGGATGTAAGATGGGGAAACGGGGCGGAGACACGGCACGCGCCGTTCACCGCGGCAGGTCAGGCAGCGCGCGCGCCGTTCACCGTGGCAGGTCAGACAGCGCGTGCGCCGTTCACCGCGGCAGGTCAGACAGCGCGCGCGCCGTTCACCGCGGCAGGTCAGACAGTGCGCGCGCTGCTGCACGCAAGGCAGCGAGCGGCTGCACGCAAGGCAGCGAGCGGCTGCACGCAAGGCAATCCGCGCTGCTGCACGCAAGGCATTCCGCGCGGTTCACGCAAGGCAGCGCGCGGGACTGCACGCAAGGCAGCCCGCAATCTGCTCGCCAGGCAGCGATCTGCTCACCTGAATCGGTCACTTCAAGCGATTCAATTGTTTCCTCCAACGGAGCTTCAATCCGACACAATTGCATCTCGCCACTGAAAAGGAGAAATTGGCGAAGAGCTCGCTAAGAGCACTACGCGAAGAGGACAAGTGCGCGAAGAGCAAAGAGCACTACGCAGCGACGAGTAGAGGAAAGTATTCAGGTGGGGTGAGAAATGGATCTGTGAGAGAGAGAGAGAGAGAGAGAGAGAGAGAGAGAGAGAGAGAGAGAGAGAGAGAGAGAGAGAGAGAGACGAGCAGGCAGGGAGGAGGTGTGTGAAAATTGATAGTGGGGTTTGAGGCAGGTGGGTGGTTGGTTGGAGAGGTGGCTCCCTGGTGGGTGGTGTTTGGGACTCTGATAACGTTGTGGCGGAGTTCCGAGTGCGTTTGCCCCATGATCCAAGGCCTTGGATCCGTGTGCTCCGGATTCCGAAGGGCTTGGGCGCAAGGCTCCGCCGCATACGACAAGGCCAGCCGCTCACAATTCCGCGCCCACCTGACCGTGAAAAATGTGTTCCAACCAACCTGCCCGTGACCCTTTGTGCCAGTGATGTTTGTCGCGAATGACATTTTTCGCCATCGTAACTCTTTGGCCGACAAGTGACGACCGCCGGTCGCATGGCCGGTTGCGACCAACTGGTCTTCTCTGCGTCGTTATATGCTTTAACTCGTTTTTTTTTTTGGCTGCAGCCTTAAAGCTGCAGCAGGTGTGTTCCTTTATACCATTGATCTTATGTGTTTTATGAATAACATGAGTACACGTGTAGCATCCTACGTTTGCTCATTGTGTTTTATAGTCATTGTTTACCAAGTGTAGGTGTTCTGCACACGTGGCCATGGCAACAGTTGTTGTCAGAGTCCCAAGGCTGCAAGAGCCAATAAGCGTCGTGTAGGGAACTTTTTTTTTTGGCGGGAGAATCATCCAGCCCAGGGTTGGATGACCAGATCTGGACACGGGCTTCTGTGTGTGGTGGATGGGTATGAATGGATGTTTTCGTGCTCATTTGCTCCTTTTCATTTGCATTTCATGCTCCGCAAGCTCTTTGAGATCTTTTCATCCAGCACCTGTTAGTCCACCAGCGTAGTCTTTTAAGCCTGCTTGGCCCACTGGCAGAACATTGGCGTCCTCGACGTAGTGACGTAGGTCGTATAGAGTGGGTTTTTTTTATTTTGGGTCAGCCCGGTTAGGATAACTGCAGTCGCACTTGTTAGGTCGCTTATGTAGGCGCAGATCTGTGTGGTAGAATATTTTGTCGGTAGAACTGTTTGTATTTGCCCGGAACAATTGTCGTAGGTCGCCCGCTCTTGTAGCCGGACATCTTCGACGTTAGGCTTTTTTTATCGGTAGAAGTATTCGCTCCCAATCCATAATATCGTCGAACCCACGAAAGTTATGTACAAGCATAAGGGTTCCGTAGATGATTATATCCGTATAATGGTAGGAACTTATTTTCGTTGTTTCGTTGTAGAGAATTAAAGCGGTAGAACAAAGGGTGACAGAGCTATACGGTACGGGACAGTCAGGCGACCCTGTATACGCAAGTTGTAGGCGCAGATATATGTAAACGCAAGTTGTAGGCCGTGTTCGAAGACCAATGTGCATACATCTGAAGCATAGACTCTCTTACGGCTTCTGCGCTTAGCCCACTAAGCATTCTGCCTATGTTATCTGCACACTTGCGAATCGTTACCACCTACCGCGGCTGACACCATCCGATTGTTTCGTCTAGTCTCGGTTGCTAGCTAATAAATTAGGAATCTGTGAATGGCCAACAGCTCGGTCCACTCTCGCCCCATGGCAGCCCAGGGCGCAGAGGATGGAGAAGAAGACATGGAGGACGATGAAAATACTGACCAAGACTACGCACAGGATCGCGAGAACGATAGCGAGTTTGAGGTGACCGAGGAGGATTTGTTCCAGGGTGGTCTCTACGAACCATCCGTCCGGATTCAAGTCCAAGGGAGTGAAGAAGGGAGTGAAGGGCCGGGAGGCGATGGAGTGCGCCCACGACCCGGTGCGCCCGAAGAACGGTACGAGGAGGATGGAGATCACTCTGACGCAGAAGAGGAGGGAGAATCATCGCCGGGACGACGACGACCTCCCGATTCTGCGAGCCATGTCGAGCAGGCTGCGGCCCCCGGAAATGCGCAGCGGCAGACCGACGTTGCGGAAAAGGAGAGCAGGATCCGGCGTTCAACAATCCTGCTTCGACTGATAGAGGCCGGCACGAGAAGGCACTATTGTTTCCACTTTCTACACTTCAAGTGGTGGGTGATAATCTTCATGGCAACTATGGTAGATGTCCCTGTGGCAGATAGGCTTGCCCCCTCTCTGCACGACGAGGTTGGGTTTCATATGAGCAATAACTTGGGAAATGATGGGTGGTCGTGCAGCTCTGACGAGTGGCAGATTCATCTGCACGGGCCGCGGGTCACGGAATGGAGGCTCGGCCGATACATCGAGTATCTCTTCTGCGAAACTGACGAGAAGGCAAAGTTTTTGCGTGGAAAAATGCGGCCAGACGTCGAGAAATATGTGGGGAAGGAGGCAAAGGGGTGCACGGCTTCAATGATCAAGGCAAAGATGAACGCAATGGGATGCCTTGCCAGATGCGAGGCGAGGCTCTACGGCTTCTCCATCACACTGACCAAGGACTGGATCAAGGATGCTCGGGATTATTTCAAAGTCAAGCTGAAGGATCTGAACGACGAGCAAGTCGCGTGAGTAACATATACGTGTGCTTTCTGTTTGTGTGAATGTTGTTCTACATGGTTTACATAATTATTGTGCTATTCTATGCAGGGATGGTCGAGATCAAACCCGTGGATCAATTGGTGATTGCTATACGGGAAGCCAGTATAGGACGCTGCATCTTACTGTTCTGCGAAAAGAGCTCCTAGAGATCTGGTGGCGGACGCCTCCGTCACAAATCTCGCTTCCTCTCTGGAAGGCTCTGCAAGTCCCGGTTATGATGCACCTCGGACACCAATTTCTCGGAAGAAGGTGCAGCATTCGAAAGATTCGCCTTGGGAACCTGTTTGTCCGCATGACGCGGAGCACATCACACCTCGACGAGTATCTGGACGTTTTCGTACTCGTCGTTGTTTCCAGGAAGTCGAAGACCAACCCCAACAACAAGCTGAGTCATCAGTTTCTTGCAAGGCATAGGGACTGGCGGCTCTGCGGAATGGGCCATGTGTTCCTGTGGCTTCATTTCATCTACGACCTCGTTCCTCTGCGCTACGGCCCCGGTATCGTCGAGCCTCTCGACTTTTCTGAACCGATCTTGTGGACTAAAGCGCACCTCTTCTTTTCTTTGAAGAAGGGCAACCAGGGAAAGCAGAAGCAAGACGAGATGCACTACAAAACGCATAACACCTGGATTAAGTGGGCCATGACGAAGGCGAGATGGATTCTGAGCAAGGTGACACATGCATTCCGCAGATCCGGAGCGCAACAACTCCATGACGACGGTTGCTCCGACAACGATATCGACACTCTGGGCGGATGGGCGCAGGGGGAGTTGCGGAGGTGTTATGTGTTCGGCATTCCGTTCAAGCCGGTTTGGCTGCTGGCAGGATTCAGCGGGGATCGTGGAGACTACTACATCGGCAGAGCCCGCGCCAAGCTTCCGCGGCATAAGGATAAGGAGAAGGATGAGTGGTTGCAGCTCTTGGATCTCTTGAGGCTTCACATTTTCCCCTGGGTCGAAGAGGGTTGGAAGAAGGTACGTGCTAGTGTACAGTCTTCACGTTCGTAGCTTAATTTTGATACGCAATTATGAACCGTCGCATTTCTCCTGCATACTCGTCCCGTCAGGTCGAAGAATGGAACGCTGCGCAGACCGATCCGCTGAAGAGGCACTATGCGGGGGCGAGGTTCCTTGAGACCCTCGCGAGCATCGGACGCCTCGTTGTTGCACAGGATCTGGCTATGATGTGGGCGTTCTGCCATCAGCACGGCGTGAGAAACCCGCGGTGCAATTGCGAGAGGCATCCATATGTGCAGATGAGCCCCTTGTGCAACCACCCGCTGTTCCAAAAGTGGGCGTACCTGGTCGCTATCTCTCACTTCCAGGGCGAGAAGCTTCGGGCAACCGGCCAAACCACTGCCAAAGCAGTAAGTGCCTGCTATTAGTGGTAGAGAGAGGGAGTTATTCGTTCATGCTGAGTTCTGCCGTGTTGGTTTCTACAGGACGCTATCTTTCACACGACCGCAGAAGAGAAGATGCAGAAGATGCACCTCACCGCCAATATGCTCAGGGAGGAGCTTGGGATTTTGAGAGGATGTGAAATGCAGTTGGCGATGGAGAACGCTGAACTGAGGGAGAAACTCGCCGCTGAGCGAGAGGACAAGGCTCGGGTCATTGCAGAGTTCGAAGCATACAAGAGGTCTGTTGCGGCCAGGGATGACGCGGCAAACACCTCTGCAGAGATCGACGGATCGTCGAAGAGCGCGGGAACAGGAGCAAACCAGGCAACGGACGCATCCAAAGCACCAGTTGCTGTGGAAGAATTCTTCGTCGTGGTCGTTGTGTCTTGGAGCGAAGCCACCACTATTGCTGCTGCCTGGAAAGTGTGGGTGCAGCCAAGCCTCATCATGGGCGGCAGGTCACTGCGCGAAGTCTTTGCAGAGTTCGACCGGTATAAGAAGAAGGACAAGAATTCCAGCTTCATCACCGCATATTCCCGGCTCGCTGACAAAGGTACGCCCGAGATGGCTGTGGGTGCATGCGAGCGAAAGATGCGTCGCGTGCATCGTGTCATGGTTTCCGTGGAGATGCTAAGAAAAGACAGCTCCGAGGCGGCAACCGCAACGGCCATTAAGCTGCTGGACGAGGTTTTTACTCGTGTGCAACTTCACGGAATTCACCAACGGCCTGGCGGTGCTGCATGAGACTCCGCCCATCAAGAAACAGAAGACCGGTTCGTCGACGGAAAAGAGGACCGTCAACGACTTGGCGCAACGCAGAGTGGGCTGGCTGTTAGTCAAGAAGGGCCTTCGCGACCAGGAGTGGGCAACTTCGCTGTTTGGGGATGATGAGTGGGAGGAGATCCACAAGGAACACATGGCGCAGGAGAAGGCGGAAGAGGAGAAACAACGAACCGCTGCGGCGAAGAAGGCGGAACGGGAAAAGGCGAAGGGCGAAGCGTCGAAACGCTAGGAGCAGAAATGAGGGGGCATGTACCTTAAGGGTGGGGCGGTTTAGTTATTTGGGTACTTTATTCCGGTTGTACTGAATATGCACTACAGGCACTTGTCTGTCTCTGTAGAAGCCCGATTTGGGGCTTGTATGCCACCTTCTTCCCTGGACGCGCTGTTTTTCGTAGAATGTTTTTCTGGTCTATGCATTGAAGCACACATCGATGGTATACACCCGGCGAAATTCTGCGGACTCATGTCGTATACGATGTTATTCTATAGAGCGGCGTCGATGAATTCACTCTCACGATTGTAGATGTGTGTTCTTAGGCCACTCGGTAGACTTTTGCGTGGATGTATTCAGTCCCAGCATATGTTTCTGGGCAAAGGAGTGTCATATTCTACTAGTAGCAACGAAGATCCTATCCATGACGGTAGATATTATCCATATGTGGGTTTTTCTGCGGTATAGTGTCGTTTCCGATTTGCCTCCAGAATTTGGCGTCGAGGAATTCAATCTCCATAGCAGAAAGGTCTGTGCATAGGAATACCGTATACGATTCTTAACAAGTTGCTCCCTAAGACAAGATGTTATGCGATTGTTTAGCCCCATACTTCTACCTCCTCGTAGAAGCCGAGTATTAAACGTAGATTAAGTGTCGTAGAAGGCCGTCCTGCCGTCAATTATTTTATTCGGCTGGCCCTCCCTTTGATGGCGAGTTCTATCGGCTGCATTGCTAACTCCATACGCGCCCTACAAATTTCGCGACTGTAGTGAAGGTTTGCATAGCAAAAATACATCTCTCATTGTATTGTATACAACAACACCTATATTTATACACGGTAAAAAAAAAACGGAAAGGAAAATCTATTTCTACTGCGGTACTAACAAGACCTCCAAAGAACCCGTCTGCCTCTATCACTCCTGGCCGCCAGTGCCGGTGTTCTCCTCCGTCGACGCATCCTTCGTCGCGTTCTTTTTCGCGGACGATTTCTTGGTTTTCTTCTCCTTATCCGCCCCTGTTGTGGTATCCCGGCCGCCCAACTTCGTCTGCAGGACTCCGAGGCAGACGCCCTGGTGCTGGCGAAGGCCTCTTGATGCCATGCTGCATAGGCACCAAGAGGTCACCACCCTCGTCATCCGCTTCGTATCCCCGGCCGCTCGCGACTCTGCCGGAAGCGCTTTCAGCAGCGCATCCGACAGGGGCAGAATCCACGCTTCCTTGTCATGCTCCTGATCCTTGACCGACCTCATCGCCTCAACCGCAACGCAAGCAACCGAGGCTGCAAGCGTCGCAAGGGCATCGAGGACGGCAGAGGACACATCGGCCGCAGAAGATGACGAGGCAGCCGACGAGGCGGTGGCAGCAGTGGACGATCTGGCAGCAGAAGATGCTATGGCCGTAGAAGTTCCACGTGCAGCTGTTGTTGCGCCCGTCTCCCACTGGGTCTGGTCCACATTCGTGGATGCGGCCCACATTACAGACAACGTGGCGGCAAGTCCGACAGCGTGTTCTTCCGTCGAATAGCCGTTTTCACCCTCCACGCCTCCCACCATCTTCTGCCACGCAGTTATTCTGACACCAGCGCAGGCAGCTACCTGAAAGCCATCCCCCTGCTGCTGCCAAAGAGCCGTGTTGGTTTGAACGAGTGAGAATCTGCACAAGACACCAGTGTCGCAAGATCAGAACCATCGAACTTCGCGGGTGTTTAGAAGTTGCAACTGTCCATCACATAAACACTCACCCGTCCGGTTTGTCCAGGTGGAGTTCATTGATGACGCTCCACACCCCCTGTTGGAAGCCACGTTGTGAAGTCGAGGTCTTCCCGCCACTTGTTAATACGGTTTGGATTCATGCCGTATGCCTGCATGTCAATATCCGGGAAGTAGAACTTCCAGCAGACTGCGACCGTGTATGCCCTCTCCCACACCGTTTTGTGAGAGCCGAGGTTCCGCTTCCGGCCGCCGACGGTCTGCTCAGACGTCCACTTCTGCAAAGCTCCCTCGCCCCGTTGAGAGAACCCGCTTCCCCTGAACGGCAGGCAGACACCCAAAGTCTTACCCTTGTCGTCCACTACGGCGTTTTTCCTGTTGTCACACTTGTCGATCTTCATCCCTTTCTTTTCCCCTGGGATTATCGGTATCAACTCCTGTATACCAGCTGCACGCCGTCTCTTAGCCGCATGACCCTCCGGCTCCCTGTCCTCCTGTCTAGGCCGCCTCCTGGACACCTCTACGTTCTGTCCGGGAACAATAGCCACGCCCTCTGCTACATTCGCCTCCCCGCTCTCAATCAACAGCAAACTCCCCAGGCCCTCAGCTATTTCCTCCTTGACTCCCTTCCAGGTCCCCTCCCCCTGCATGGTCAAATCCTCCTCTTCCATCTCCCTTGCCAATCGTTCCGTCTCTTCAGCCATCGCCTTTGCCTTTGCCTCCAGTTGCCGCTGCTGTTCCGCGTAGGATGCAAGTCTGGCCCTCTTCTCTGCTCGGCACTGCTCCGCCTTCTGCAGGCGCTCCATCTCCTGCTGTTTCGCCCTCTGCCGCCGCTCGGCCTCCTCTGCCTCCTTTTTCTGCGCCTCCTCCTTCTGCAGGCGGTCCAATTCCTGCTGTTTCGCCCTCTGACGCCGCTCTACCTCCTCTGCCTCCTTCCTCTGCCTCTCCTCCTTCTGCAGTCGCGCCATCTCCTGCTGTTTTTCCCTCTCCTGCCTCTCGGCCTCCTCTGCATCTTTCCGCTGCGCCTCCTCCTTCTGCAGGCACGCCATCTCCTGCTGTTTCTCCCTCTCCACCCGCTCTGCTTCCTCTGCCTCCTTCCTCTGCGCCTCCTCATTTTGCTGGTGCTCCTTCTCCTGTTGTTTCTCCCTTTCCTCCCGATCGTCCTCCTCAGCCTCCTTCCTCTGCGCATCCTCCTTCTGTCGCCGATCTCCCTCCGTTGCCTTCCTACCCTGCTCCTCCTTTTGCCGCCGCTCTGCGTCCAATCTCAGAACTACTGACAGCCGCTTTTCCACCTCACTTAGCATCCCCTCCTTCCACCCCTTCATCCCCGTCTTCATCTCCTTCACAGCCTCCATCACTTCCTTCATTCCTGCCTCCACCTCCTTCTGCCGTCGCTCTTCCTCCTGATGTTTCTTCTTCCTCCGCCACTCTGTGGCCTCTACATCCTTCCTCTTCTCCTCCTCCTCCTTCCGCCATTGCTCGTCCAGTTGTTTCTTCTTCTGTCTCTCCTCGTCGTCCGCCACTTGTTTCCTCTTCGCGTCCTGCTGTTGTCGCCGCTCCGCGTCCTCTTGCCTCGCCTTCTTCTGCCACTCGGATTCTTCTCGCAAAACCGCGCTCAACCTCCCCACAATCTGGTTTACCATCCCATCCTTCATCTCCTTCATTTCTGCCTTCATCTCCTTCATCATCGCCTCCTTCATCTCCTTCATTCCCTCTCTCATCTCCTTCTGCCGACGCTCTTCCTCCTGCTGTTGTTCCTTCTTCCGTCTCTCTGCGGCGTCTGCTTCCTTCCTCGTGGCCTTCTGCCTCCGCTCCTCGTCCTGCATCCCTGTTCCGCTGCTCAGAGTCTTCTCTCAGAACCTCTCTCAACCTCTCTTCCACCCCCTTTAACGTGCCCTCCGCCATCCCCCCTCCCGACTGGCGAACCTGATCACTCACCCTTATGATACTCTCCTGCAAGTTGGAGAGTCTCGTGTCCACCTGCTCGCGAAACCTGGCCGCCGTTTCAGCTTGGCGCCGCCGTTCCTCGTTTCCATGGCGGACTTCTTCCAGGTTGGCCAGGGCGTCGCGGCAGTAATGGACGGTCAGATCGGCCACGTCGCGACTGATGCTGCTGTTGCGGGCCGCCAAGTTGCAGAACGTCTGCGTCACCATTCGGGCTAAGAGCGTCAGACGACGCGTTACCTCTGCCGGGCTTATGTCCCAGCTTTTGGCCTCGACGAACCTGTCACCTTGTTCGACCAGGACTGTACTCGTCCGATGCAGCATCCGCCGTATTGCCGTCTCTGCCTCGACCCACTCTACCTGCCAAAACGCTTCTGCCACCCCGCCTTGGCCGAGATTCCTCTCCACTGCTCTCTGGTGAAGGGTAGGCCGCCTCTGCCTGTTGAGATCCACTGTATCCCTAGGCGCCCCATCGTCTGCCACCCTCCATGGCCCCTCTACCCCGGTTCCTGGTCCCCGCGTCGGACTTCCTCCCAAAAATATCCGGACTGCCGGATGTACAGTATCCTCCTCATTCTGCTCCTCTTCTGTTTCCAGCGCATCTCCCTCGTAGTGCCCCACTCCAGCCTCCGGGACCACACGAACCTCCTCCATAGTATTTTGACGCTCTGTCTCTGCCATGCTCTGCGTCTCTCGGTATGCGAATACCTGCGACGCTGCCTCCTTGTCATGCTGCCCCTCTTCCTCTGCGATGATGTGCCCCTCAGCACCCGCCGTCTCCCGTCCCTCTGTCTGTATCATTTTATTCCCATCTAAACCCTCCTCTCCATCTGGCTTCCTACGTCCGTCAACCTCAGCCTGCTTCTGCTCCTCGGCCTCTGCCATCTTCTGCGCCTCACCCTCCACCTTCTGCCGCGCCTCTACAACAGCCTTCTTCCGCGCTTCTGCCCGAGCCAGTTGTAGTGCCTCTTCCGCAGCCTGTTTCTGCTCCTCTGCCTCCGCCTTCTGCCGCGCCGCTGCTTCTGCCTTATTCCGAGCCTCTCCTTCCTTATGTGCGTCTGCCTCCTCCATATGCAGCGCCGCTGCCTTATCCTTCTGCCTCGCCGCTGCCTCTGATTCCTTGTGCGCCTCTGCCTCAACCATCTTCGGCGCCGCACCCTCCTCCTTCTGCTGCGCCGCTGCCTCTGATTCCTTGTGCGCCTCTGCCTCAACCATCTTCGGCGCCGCACCCTCCTCCTTCTGCTGCGCCGCTGCCTCTGATTCCTTCTGCGCCTCTACCTCAACCATCTTCGGCGCCGCACCCTCCTCCTTCTGCTGCGCCGCTGCCTCTGATTCCTTCTGCGCCTCTGCCTCAACCATCTTCGGCGCCGCACCCTCCTCCTTCTGCTGCGCCGCTGCCTCTGATTCCTTCTGCGCCTCTGCCTCAACCATCCTGGGCGCCGCACCCTCATCCTTCTGCTGCGCTGCTGCCGCTGATTCCTTATGTGCGTCTGCCTCATCATTCTGCTGCGCCGCTGCCTCATCCTTCTGGCTCGCCGTTGCCTCTGATTCCTTCTGCGCCACTGCCTCCACCACCTGCAGCTCGACTGCCTCCGACGTCAGCTCTGCTGCTGCACCCGCTTCTTTACGCGCGACTGCCTCCGCACTCTTGACCGCCTCTGCACCCACCTTCTGCTGCGCCGCAGCCTCTGCTTCCTTTGGCGCCCCGTCCTCTGCCGTAAGTGCCGCCTCTGCATCGACGAACCGATGGGCCGCATCCTCTGCATTCTGGTGCGCCTCTACCTCCGCCATCTTATGAGCCTTTGCACCTGCGTTGCTCTGCGCCTTCTTTTTCGCCTCTCCCGAATTCTCTGGCACGTCGACGTCCCCTCTCCGGGCCTCTTCAGCCGCCTTCCGCTTTACGCTGGGCAAGCGAACTTTCACGTATCCCCTATCCTCCTCGATATGCTGCCGCACATTGCTGGCGAGCTCCTCTCCTGCCTCTCCCACGTGTGCCCTTGCAGCGGCTCGTGCCCCACGCTCCCATGCTTCACGTATGTCTCCAGTTCCCGGGAAAGAGACGGTAGGATCGGTGTCGCCATCACGGCGCCGTTGCCTCTCTTCAGCCCGTCTCCTCTTGGCTTCTGCTTCGGCCATCCGCTTATCATCAGCCGCCTTCCTCCACTGCTCCTCTGCCTGTTCGACCTGACTTGGCAGCTGTGGATCTTCTACACCCTCCTCGCCTTCATCTGCTACACTTGCCAAGTCGGTCTCCGTCCGTGCTTCGCATTCCGGCGGCCTCCTAACCCGATCAGCAAACCTGAGCTGCCTAAATCCAGACCTAACACGCTCGTCCGCACGGGCTGACCTTGATGTCGGGCCACTCAGTAGTGCACCCCCCGGTGCAGGTCGGCGGGAATATGAAATTTCCCCTACTCTTGGATTTGCGTCCCGGTTTGCGGTAGGTATGTCTCTCTGTCCCTCTACCGCTTCGGATCTGTTCTGTGCCGCCGGCTCCATGGTATTCCCGGACCGTTCCGGTGCGCTCTCCACCACTCGAGCCTCATGGGTCGTCATGACTGCATCCGGGGCGGGACGGAGCTGGACTCCTTGCAGGTCGAAGAAGGCCCTGCAGGTCGACTCCAGCATACTCCGAATTTCTTTCGCGCTGTTTTTCCCCTTCCCTAAGGCGATCATCGGCTCTGCAGTTTGAATCGCCATGACATCCCCCCATTTGTCAAGCAACTTGCTGAACAGATGGGTAACGTGTAGCCCGGAACCCACTTGCCTCTGTCCCTGAACCTTGTTGATCTGCAACATGTGCGTGAAAAGGTGGTTGTCAGGCACTCCCGTAACTTTTTACAAGCTTAATATCATAAAAATAGAGGCTCCTTACCCTGCCTTCCTCCAGAATCAGTTCCTCTAGGCGATCCCTCAAATCTTTCTGCACCGCTTCGGCGTGGCTGCCAGAGACCCTGCGACCTCGGCTGTATTCCACATCTAGTTGTCGAATAAGCCAGCTGCAGGGCAAGGGGGTCGCAAATAATCAATAACATGCGTCCATACAAACCGCACATCTGATTAAGGAGTGACACTTACTCGAACACCTCCTTGGCATGGTCGCTGTGGAGATGGGTTGGGATTGGAGATTTAGGGTCGAAGTGTAGCACACGCGTACGGTACTCTCCGCGGGGATGTGCTAACAAATCTTGCGGGTTCATCAGCACCATGAGACTGATCGCCGTCGAGTGAACAACAGGGACGCTGCGGTACATCGAAGTTTGGATTAGCAAGATAAGCTGGTGTCATCGACAGACGTTGCGGATCCATGTCAAGAAACGCACTCTGATATCATGGGTATTAAAACCATCTGGTAGTCCAACAGCGACCGATGTTCGCTGCCACAACTGGGGACACGCGGGACGGCAGACCTCAAACGCCGATGCTCGGTAGGAGCCAGAATCTTTATGTCCCTGCGAACATGAGGATCCCTGATCTTGTCCTTGGCAACCTCCCTGCATCCAAGCCGACATGTCGCAGAGGTAAGAAGATAGCAGGTGCGTGTCTAAAAATACAAGGGTTTAACGTGCCGATGAAGTCGGCGTGCGTTACAAACCGCGCTTGGATACATACACAAGGCCGAAAAGTAACAACGCCTCGTTCCACTCTTCCTGACGAGCGACTAACATTTCATAAGACTCCCGCCCTAGTCGTACAGACAATCCGCAGCCATCTGTGATTAACTGGGACGACATCGCGTAAGTATGCCAGAAGATGGCAGGTAGCTATACGGTTACTACCATACACTGTCCGCCTGCAGGATTTGAGGCCGACACTAGAATGAGAGGGAAGCTTGTGAGGAGGCTAGTTGTGGAACCAAGACTCAGATTGGAATGGCGAGAATGACCTTGAGCTCTGGTGCACCCACCCTGATAACAACTTCTGCTTCGCTGGTAGAATTGGTTGTGCTCTCGTCCTCACAGAAGGTGGGAAAGGCTTTGCTACAAACGCCAGGCGTAGTAAGACTTTTCTGCCCCCTACATCAAAATATTAGGCTTCTCACCATTTCCCTTCGAACATCTGCGAACTACTCTTTGCATCCTTCTGCAGCGATTGGCCTATTTGTCGCCAGATTGTTCTCCTAAATGTTCTACTTCAGTTGCTGGTTGGTTGATTGCCAACCTTATATGCCATTTAAGCATATTGCATGTTCTGCGGTGCATTGCATGGTCTCAGCTTTGCCTCGACCTAGTACGAAATGGTGACGGGCAGCCCCTAAAAAAAAAGAAAGGTGTCCTGTGACAGGTTCATGACAGGCTGCCACGTATAACTATCCCATCCGCATGGTTCCCTCCGCAAAGTGGAAATAGAGCAGTCTCTGCGACCTGTCACACGTGTCAGAAACCGAATGACCGTGTACATCCCACAGTACCGCTATAGGGGTACTCGCGTAGCACGTATAGTGCTAGTTTTTGTAACCCATAAAACAAACACAAGCATGAACTTTGCATGATTAGCACACCCAATTCTAAAACGGATAATCCTATAAGTGTGAGATGAGTGCCCTATCAATAAGGGCTCATTAGCACCCGTATAACAATGGCATTTAAATACAAAACAAATGTTGTACATTTCAACAAAGTGATCTGCTCCCGCCTGCAGAGAAGAGCATGAAAAACATATCAAACCTCTACGAAATGAGGTGAATTTCATAGGGGAGTCTGGAATATGTGTGATGAGAGTCCCCTATGAAAATCGGATCATTTGCCCAAGGATAAGTGGGTGATTTCTGTTGCAACCTGATTCCAGGCAATTCTGCACAGAATTCTGCAGACTGCTGCACAACAAGGCTTAAAAACCATATCAAACCTTAGGCAAATGAGGTGAACTTCAGAGGGGAGTCTGTGATATGTGTGATGAGTGTCGCCTATAAAACTCAGCTCATTTTCCCAAGGAGAAGAGGGTGATTTCAATTGCAACCTGATTCCAGGCAATTCTGCACAGAATTCTGCAGACTGCTGCACAAGAAGGCTTAAAAACCATATCAAACCTTGGGAAAATGAGATGAATTTCAGAGGGGAGTCTGGAATATGTGTGTTGAGAGTCCCCTATAAAACTCAGCTTATTTGCCTAAGGAGAAGTGGGTGATTTCAATTGCAACCTGATTCCAGGCAATTCTGCACAGAATTCTGCAGACTGCTGCACAACAAGGCTTAAAAACCATATCAAACCTTGGGCAAATAAAGTGAATTTCCGAAGGGAGTCTGGAATATGTGTGTTAAAAGTCCCCTATAAAAATCAGCTCATTTGCCCAAGGAGAAGTGGGTGATTTCAATTGCAACCTGATTCCAGGCAATTCTGCACAGAATTCTGCAGACTGCTGCACAACAAGGCTTAAAAACCATATCAAACCTTGGGCAAATGAAATTAATTTCAGAGGGGAGTCTGGACTATGTGTGTTGAGAGTCCCCTATAAAAACCAGCTCATTTGCCCAAGGAGAAGTGGGAGATTTCAATTGCAACCTGATTCCAGGCAATTCTGCACAGAATTCTGCAGACTGCTGCACAACAAGGCTTCAAAACCATATCAAAACTTGGGCAAATAAGATGAATTTCCGAGGGGAGTCTGGAATATGTGTGATGAGAGTCCCCTATAAAAATCAGCTCATTTGCCTAAGGATAAGTGGGTGATTTTAGTTGCAACCTGATTCAAGGCAATTCTGCACAGAATTCTGCAGACTGCTGCACAACAAGGCTTAAAAACCATATCAAACCTTGGGCAAATAAGATGAATTTCAGAGGGGAGTCTGGAATATGTGTGATAAGAGTCCCCTATAAAAATCAGCTCATTTGCCTAACGATAAGTGGGTGATTTCAGTTGCAACCTGATTCTAGGCAATTCTGCACAGAATTCTGCAGAGTGCTGCACAACAAGGCTTAAAAACCATATCAAACCTTGGAAAAATGAGATGAATTTCAGAGGGGAGTCTGGAATATGTGTGTTGAGAGTCCCCTTTAAAACTTAGTTTATTTGCCTAAGGAGAAGTGGGTGATTTCAATTGCAACCTGATTCCAGGCAATTCTGCACAGAATTCTGCAGACTGCTGCACAACAAGGCTTAAAAACCATATCAAACCTTGAGCAAATGAAGTGAATTTCCGAAGGGAGTCTGGAATATTTGTGTTAAGATTCCCCTATAAAAATCAGCTCATTTTCCCAAAGCGAAGTGGGTGATTTCAATTGCAACCTGATTCCAGGCAATTCTGCACAGATTTCTGCAGACTGCTGCACAACAAGGCTTAAAAACCATATCAAACCTTGGGCAAATGAGGTGAATTTCAGAGAGGAGTCTGGAATACGTGTGTTGAGAGTCCCCTATAAAAATCAGCTCATTTGCCCAAGGAGAAGTGGGAGATTTCAATTGCAACCTGATTCCAGGCAATTCTGCACAGAATTCTGCAGACTGCTGCACAACAAGGCTTCAAAACCATATCAAACCTTGGGCAAATGAGATGAATTTCAGAGGGGAGTCTGGAATATGTGTAATGAGAGTCCCCGATAAAAATCAGCTCATTTGCCTAAGGATAAGTGGGTGATTTCAGTTGCAACCTGATTCAAGGCAATTCTGCACAGAATTCTGCAGGCTGCTGCACAACAAGGCTTAAAAACCATATCAAACCTTGGGCAAATACGATGAATTTCAGAGGGGGGTCTGGCATATGTGTGTTGAGTGTCCCCTATGAAAATCAGATCATTTGCCCAAGGCAAAGTGGTTGATTTCACAAGAAACATGGTTCCAGGCATTTCTGCACAGAATTCTGCACCCGCCTGCAGAATATAACATGAAAAGCATGGCAAACCTTGATGAAATGAAGTAAAAACTGGATGGGGATCAGGACTAGGTGTGATGACAGTGCCCTATCAAAATGGGCTCATTTGCCCAAGGAGAAGTGGGTGATTTCACCTGACACATCACACCAGGCAACTCAGCACTAACTTCCTTGCAAGAAAAAGTCCACCAAATCAGTTTGCATAGAGCTGAAAATGTTCAGGGGGGCTGGAACAGGTGTCATAACACTAACAATGCAAAAACATATGGTCACCACATAACACATGTGTGTGATGCCCAGAGAATGACTTTACATGTGCTATGAGCAACCTTAGTTGACCCAAAAGTGACAAAATGTAACAAATTTGACAAAATAACAAACTCATGCCCGCTGGTAGAGGACATCAAGGAGATGCTGGAAATCCATATTTGTGTGCAAATGACCAACAAATTATGGAGTTATGAGCCAAACCATATAGAATTTTGACTTAGCCATTTTGACATTCTGCTTGTCAGAATTACACCAAAGTGTCAACAACAAAGTTTATATACAAATACTGTAGAACAGTGGTTGCGACGTCGCTTTCGTGCTCCGTCGATAATCCAAACCGGTAGTGTAACCACTCTTGCGCCCATTTCGTTGCGCCATCAGGTGGTTTGGATTTTGTAAGGTCCAACACCCTTTTGCGCC